TTCAGGTTCGTCATGTATTACAAAAACTAAGAGATGCGAGACTCTATGCCAAGATAGAAAAGTGTGTATTCCACACTATTCAAGTCGACTTCTTAGGATACATCATTTCAAATGATGGACTTATGATGGATCCTAAGAAAGTTCAAACTATTATGGATTGGAAGATTCCAAAAACGGTAAGAAATGTCCAATGCTTTTTGAGATTTGCCAACTACTATCGGATCTTCATCAAAGACTTCTCTTAAGTTAGAGCTCCACTTACATGTTTGACTTGCAAAGACAAACTTCAATGGAATCAAGAAGCAGAAGTAGCATTTGAAGCTTTGAAGAGAACCTTTGTTTTTGCACCAATCTTGTATCGCGTCGATTTTTCTAAGCCATTTTTTATGGAAATAGATGCATCAGACTTTGCTTTGACTGCCATATTGTCACAAATGGGAATAGATGATAAATTTCATCTAATAGCTTTTTATTCCAAAAAATTTTCAGTAGTCGAGATCAATACTAACTATTGATTCAACTTTCATTAAGCAAGTTCAGTCAAGTATGTCTTCTGATCCTCTTATTCGTGATATTAAAGAAAATCCTTCAAAGTCTCATGATACTTCCAAGTTTGAATTCAAGAAGAATCTACTATATTTTGAGGGATGTCTATATGTTCTAGAAGGTGAAGCGCGATTACATATTCTTCAAGCTCGTCATGACTTTTCAGGAGCAAGATATTTTGGATACAATAAAACTGTGGAACTAATATCTAGGGACTTTTAGTGGCCCCAAATGTGGAAAGCAGTTAAAGATTTTGTATAATCTTATGATGTTTGCTCGAAATCAAAAACTCCTCGTCATTGATCTTACGGACTTCTTCAGCCATTATCTATTCCAAAACAACCATGGTCTTCTATTTCTATGGATTTCATCACGGATCTTCGAATCTCAGGTTCTTATGACTCTATATTCGTGACAGTAGATCATTTTATCAAGATGGCACATTTTGTACTATATATAAATTTTATCTTAGGTGAAGAAACAGCTAAGTTTTTTCTTGACAATATCTATCGCTATCATGGATTATCCAAGGATATTATATTAGATAGGGGAACTCAATTTGTATCAAGATTTTAGCGGATTCTTTTTAAGATTCTAAAAGTGGATATAAAACTATGTTCGACATTCCATCCTCAAACTGATGGATAAATGGAGCGTGTTAATCAAATTTTGGAGCAGTATTTAAGATGTACCATTAACTACCAACAAGATGATTGGATAACTCTTTTGCCATTGGTAGAGTTGGTTACAATAACACGGTACATTCTTCTACAAAACAAACACCTTTCTTTGCTAATTATGGTTATCATCCACAAATTGATACTTTTGACTTTTCAAAAGTTGATAATCTTGCTGCGAAAGATTTGGCAATTTATTTGTCAAAGCTTCATGCAATAATGAAGGCGTAGTTAAAAGAAGCTCAAGAACAACAAAAAGTCAATGCAGATGTCTATCAAAACGAACAACCACCATTCTACATGGGTGATAAGGTATGGTTACTTCGTCGCAATATCAAGACCACTCGTCCTTGTGACAAGTTGGACTATCAAAGGCTTGAACCATTTTCTATTTCTGCACAAATCAATCCACTTGTATATCGTTTAAATCTATCGAAGTTAATAAAAATCCATCCACTATTCTATGTGTTTTTTCTTGAATCATACAAGATAGTGGACATACCAAAAAGAAGACAAGTTCTACCTCATCCTATAGAAGTGGACAATAATAAAGAGTTTGAAGTGGTAGAAGTCTTAGATTCAAGGCGACGCCAAAATAAATTAGAATATCTTGTCCATTGGTGCGGATATGATAGTAGTGAACGCACATGGAAGCTAATAAAGAATCTTATAAATGTTGTAAAGGCGGTGGAGGCTTTTTATTGACGACATCCATCAAAATCAAGATGAAAACCTTCTTTATAAAAGAAACAAGATCCAGGCAAGATATCATTCTACTTTCAATCCTTTTTTGTAGCTTCTTTGTAGTTGTGATGCTCAGGAGATATAGAACCAACAACCAACGGATTCAATTGAAGAGCCTTTATTTGCTAACTTACTAGACGAGACATTATGATTGTCTCAAACTTCAAGACGACGCAATCGAGATGAAGGTCTTTAAGAATGATATGTTCTTCTTCAAATAGATGGTAAAATATAATACGTTTGGTATCACGACCTTAGAAGGAATTGACAATGTTTGGTAATTTTACTAGAAGTAGGAACAACTCTTGACAGTGTTCTTATTGTTTTATTTGAAGGAAGTTATGAAGGCCTCAACAATAATCAGATAATTGGGTGGTCTTTCCGCCTTAGTATGGAGACACTACCGATGGTTGAGAGGCCCTATCAATCATCTTCGAAGAGAACGAAGATCAGAATATGTGGCAAATACAATTTGTCGCATCATAGATTTCCTCAACTTATGATTACCGCTCCTCGTGGAACTCGTCCCTAGAAGGGGGGGTATTGTCACGGACATACACATATACATCAATAATTACATGTATAAATACATAGAAATAAGTAAAAGTATGTAAAAATAAGTTAATTTTATAGTTTTTGATATAGTAGCTTCCTAGAAGCTTCCTAGACGCTGCTTTGACTTTATAGGTGTCTTTAATTGACTTTTTGATTAGAAACATGGTCAACAAGTTGGCCATGTGCCACACATGTTATTAGCTTGAAGACCAAGCTAACTATGTAGGCCACACATAGAAAAACTTGCCTTGTAAGTCAATGCATGTGTCGTACAAAGTCAACACATATTGGAGGTCCTACAGAACGTTGCCACGTAGCCTCTAGTTAGATAGTATATATAGAGACATGAGTGAAGCCTTCTTCACTCTTATCAACTCCTTTCTTGCTTCTTGTCTAGTTACAAGGGTCTGTAGTTTTCTTGGCTTTTGGCAATAGCCATTTGAGTTTCTTTTTTAATATATATATATATATGAAGTTATTTCTATTTTGTCATCTTGCTATGAGAGAATTCTCAGTTGTTTATTTATCTTTATTATGTTCTTGTCTTAACCACATTGTAGTATTCTATTTTTCCACCTTTCTATAAAAAACTATTATTATTTTTATTTTATTTTATCTTTGCAATCATCATGTTTGGAAGTTAAAAAATAGATGAATGGAGGTAGTATGATATATACTTTGTAAGAATGCAATGCAAGAGAATTCATGACATAAACTTATTGATCATGACTTCTACAATTATTGATCATTGATCAAATTGCATATAGAGTTCTAGAATAGCCAAAGTAATGGAACTACTATAAAATGCAAGAAGTAGAGAACTGTAAAGTAGTCATAGAATATAGTCACAATTCTCCCTCTCCTCCATCCTCCCAATCTTCCATGCCTTTGATACAAAGAGCATAAAAATATAAAATAAAATAAACTAATAATAATTTTTTTCTATAAACACTACTTATTTGGATTTTGCTTTAAAAAATAGTGAAATTTTATGAACTCCACTTCTTTGGATTGGCTTCAAAAAAATGGTGAAATTAAAGTGCATATTGAATCACTAATTTTATACGAGATTTTAAACTAATTTTATGTAATGCCAATCATAAATTTAAACAATGCTAACATCAACCAATCAGTGATTTGTTTAGAGAGACAAACATCTTTTTTATATAAAGTCGATAAAAATAATAAAGTAATAATCACTAATTATAAATATTATTATAAATTAATTTTAATTTTTTTTAAGAAAATTATATTATTTAAAAAAAATTGTACATTGAATTAAATATCTATATTTGATAGTTGACATAATCAAAATTATTTGTATGGAAGTAGAAGAAATAATAGTTCTTTAAAATATTGTGTTAATATAACAACAAAAATTCTCTTAAAATAAATAAAAAAATAAAATATTAATGCAAAAAAAAATACAAGATAAAATAATTGTATATACTCTCATATTATATAAATATATATATATATATATATATATATATTTATATATAAGATGCATATCATTAATAATTGATATTTTATTAAGATAGATATTTCGTAATAAATTTTATTATATTTAAATAACTAAATTTAGTATTGATTCTTTTGTATAAGTTATTGGTATAATAATTTTTGGTATATGTATGTATATATACATATTAATCAAATAATTTTATATTGTAAGTTTTTATCATTATTATTTTAAAAAAGAAGATTAAAAAAGAAGAATTGTTTTATACACTTGTGCTGAAAGAAATGAATCTTGTAAATATAAGTAAGCAATTTAAAAGAGACACAATTTGTTTTAAAGCACCATGTTAGGCACTAATCTTGTTGTATCACAAGTACTTATTTCAATCTTTAAATGAAAAGATAAATACACTCTCTAACCACAATTTGCAAACTGCATATTTTCCTAGCTACCAATTCCAACAGACTGTGTTTATTCAACATTATAACAAGTGAAGATTAAAGGTAAAAAAAACTTTTCAGAAATATATATATATATATATATATATATACATATATACATATACATATATTTTCCATGAAAGGATCAATATGTTTACAATATTATTTACAAATCCAGTAGTAAATTATTGGTAACTCACAAAATAAATAACACTGATTTTGTGTTGAACACACAAGCATGCATATGATATAATTTTTTTATTATTCATATCCTAAAACTGCTATATTAAGATAATATAGCATACTATATAATACTATATAGATGAGTGAAGTTTTATTGTTTATGAAATTTGAAAATATTAAATCAATAGTTTATATTCAAATTTATTAAATTTAGTTCTTATGAATAAAATTTAGGTTACATGGTACAGAACCCATCAAGCCCATTATCCCTGATCTACAATTTCTTGCTACTGATCCACAATGTATTGCTAGTAATCCACAATCCACGTGATCCATGGATTGTTTGAAAGATAGGCTCAATGAGGACTTGATGGGATATGCTGCTTAGAGACATGCATTGAAGTTACTACATAATTATATATAACATATAATGTGGAAAAAAAATAAGCTATAACTTTTACATGTGTATGCCAGCAACAATAAGAAGTTATCAAGGTAAGTTACAATGCAAGTTACTAAACTGTTATTCATAGAGCCACATTAAATAAGAAATCAGGTAAGCAACAACAGTTAGCAAGTTTTGTATGCCACTGCAGCAGTAATCCTGAGCTTGCAACACTGATTTGATAACCACTCAAAGTGATGCAGAGCCATAATTACAATGAATAAGAAGCCCTTGTAGATTTCAGTTCAGCCTCTAGTCAATGCAATCCAGGATTCTTTCAAACCCACTGTGTGCTGCCTTAGCTGTGGAGAATGTTTTTAGCTGCAGAAGCTTGGTGACCACTCTGAAGTGGAGATAGAATATGATGTATGTGGCTTTTGTTGCTTTTCCTGTTTATGTCTCAAGTTTTCTTGCTTTGATGCTTGTGTTGTTATGGAAGGGTGTTGAAAAGGTGGCTACAGCTGACTTGGCATCTCAGAGTAGATAGACCATAGATCTTCAATGTGAGACTTCAATCATCACATCTGGGTAGAAGATGGTCACCACTGAACTCTTTTGCTGTTGGCTTCACACATCAGCCTAGTCATCCTCATGCTTTGACCACCCAGTTGACCATGCAGTCACAGGCTCATATATCATGCCATACAAGGTTCATGGAAAAGAGTGCGATGCTTTTCTGTGCTTTGAAAGCAGCTCGTTTGCTTATGTTCACAGAATTTATTGCATGATCTTGGATAGTCTTGTTTAAAAAATACACATTTATGGGCAGAATTCAGCAGAAATAAGCCAATGAACTCTACAAGCTTCCTATACAGAGAGTGAGGGTAACATCCCTCCTCAACAAATATGTATTTCAACCAAATATTTTCAGCTGGAGAGAGTTGAGTTTCTCTTCAGAATATCAGCAAGGAAAGATATCGGTGAGTTCATCGTTGAAATGGCAAAGCATTGTCAAGTTTCAGTGACGTCGGCTTCAAAAGCCGCAAGTCGTCTCAGCCATGCCGTTGACGTAGTAGGTGCAATTTTTTCTTTCTGGGTGGCAGATGTGCACTAAAGTGCATATACATCCACCAGTTTCTCCTGTCTCAGCATCATTCTCGCATACGATGGTGTTGTTTGGAGGGCACACGGGTCCAACGGAACAGCCTGCAGCCCGAAGCATCCAGATAGTCTATCCACTGATATGGCATAATTAAGTAACAAACGCTTACATATGCTAAACCCACACTCGATGGAACTTATAGTTATATGCAAACCCTTGGTTCGACATCTAATATTTGGCTCGGTAATTTTACCCTGCAGTCAGGTACCACAGAAGATACCCCGCGAAATTCACGCATTCGAAAAAGATAAGCTAAACCAACATGAGTCTGATTGGTCCTTACCTGGCCGATAGACAGCTCGTCGTGGGTTTGCCTGTGGAGCTTCTGTTCTGAGTAGTCGTGGACCACACACCTGCACCGTCAAATTCCACACACGGTTAACACAACCCCTGTTGATAAATACAGAAGTAAGCACTCTTTCCCATTTTAGAACACAATCAAGAGCACTGCACTGATCATGGACCCATCACTCCCATGATTTCCAATCCTGGAAAAACGAACGCCTCAAAATTGGGTAGTCACCTTATCGTTGTCGGGAGTTTCTACGGAGATGGACGCCGCGACCATGAAATTAACCATGAGACCTGGACCCAGAAAAGCGGCAGTGAGTTTTCCATTGAATTTTTACATCACCATTCTCCTCCATCACAAAGGCTCTTTCAGAACAGATCCGATGCATAATCCATGACAACATCAAAGCCATGACTCACACAGGATGGCGAGCTTCACCCAGGCGCCCATGTTGCTCCTGGTGGACAACAACAACAAACAAACCCAAAGACCGGCAGCACGGCAGCGTCGAGCAGGTCACACAGCGCATCACCAATCAGACCAGACTCAGCAGGAAATGAGGATCGAAGCAATCAAAAGTGCTGTGAGTGATGAGAGTGAGCGAGCAGCGGCTGCCCACCAGCACATTAATAGCCTTGTTATGCTTGCGATTCAGCAGAAATACCGCAGAGCAACGGAATCAGTT